CACCCGCCGCAAGTAGCGCACCGAACAGGGTTACCCGAACTCTGCTTTTCCATGGAACCGAACCCAGGAAGTGGCGGACGGACTCCGAGCAGGAAGGCGACAGTGCCAACTCCTAAGCGCCAGGATCATAAGACTGACATCGGAGCAGCTCATCCAAACTATTGCTGCAGGAGTTCACTCCGAGAAGGGCTACCCCGGAAAGGCCGCAGTAGGGACTTACCCAGGAAAGGCTAAGGAATAAGGATTTAAGGAATAAGGAATTAAGGAACCTGGTCGTTGGCTACTTGATCAGATATTAAAGAAAGTCGTCAAGCTACACGATCCAGCAATTTAAGGAATTAGGAATTTTGAGGAATTTGAGGAATTTTTGCCCGTGCAGGAATATTACACGTGAGGTAGCCCAAAAACTTTTTGCTTTTTAGAAAAGCGGGGAATAAGTCCGATAAAAGTCTTAGCTGCACTGATTGGTCTGGGCAAGGCTAAGGGACACTTTAAGGAGCCAATTTATTGTTTGAAGAATCAGAATGGTGTGATAATCTTTTAGACCCTGATGCTGTAAATACTGAAAAAGAATCTGGACTGTCTGGCCTGTGTCTTACTAGTGTTTGCTATTAAGACAAAACAAGACCTTGATGGCTTCTCTATTCGTTATACCAGTGGTGTTTTCTGAAGAGACCTGAAGAATTGAATCTCACAGTGTCTGAGTCCATTCTGTTTCTTCCTTGGAAAACTCAATACTGCTTGAAAGGGAAAAATAATGCAGGCTTTTTCTTATGAAGTCATTGCTTATTACTCAGAAACTGATCGGTGAATTTGATTTTTTAAAAAATACAATTGCACAAAAGATTGTGGTAAGACAATTTTTCCCAGCACAGGTATCTTACACCTTGTCACTGGTTTCTTTGTGTCTACAGAGAGCATGGCAAATGCTCTTCACCAGTTGTTATCCCCTTCCTGACAGTGGGTGGGCAATGTTCCATACCTGGGGATTTATCAGCTGTTTGGCTGAAAGAATGCAAACTCCTTGAAGAATGAACCTTGTGGCTACTATCCACAGTTCTGTTACTTCAAGATTAGTGTGTTGCTTTGCACTACCGACAGGGTCATAATTATCTGGGCCCTGAGGGCACTATTAGCCTGGACTGTCCCTGTCCACCCACCACCCCTAGGGACTCCAGCCCACAGGGACCCCCACTGCACTCTGACTAAAGTGAAGCTATAGAGAGGTTTGCAGCTAGTCTGCAACACAAGAATTTCCATGTTAGAAAAGAACCTAAAAGTGCAGAAAAAAACTGGTTACCATTTGCCAACTGATCTCTTGGTGAACTATGATAGTGTTGATTATGACTTTTAAACCCCTTAATAGTCTGAAGCTGGTGTATCAGGATGATTGCTTCCCTTTCTGTGCTCTCCTTCAATAGCTGCAATCAGCACAGACTTACAAATGGAATCTTCTTCATTATAAAAAACAAAGCGGAGGGAATTGGGAAACAGATATTCTTGGCTACAGCTGCAAGACTCTGGGAATTTCTCCTTAATTTGATCTGAAAACAGCTCAAACTAGTACAGTTTGAGACAAAAGCCATTTTTTGAGGGATTCTTTGAGAAACTAGCAGCATTCTTCCTAGATGAAGAGAATTGCAGGCTGTTTGAATAGACTGGCATAGAATTCTGTTCATACTGCTTAATTTTCTGATTAAACTTATTTGTATTTACTGGATGATTGATTATAAGAATGCCTAACAAATTTGGTAAGCATCTATTTTTTATATAAATAAAACCAGACAATTATAATCCTACTCGTAAAAGGTTTTATACATAGTTATTGGGTCATAATCATAGGAAAATTAATTACTTGTTAACATTAGTAGCAATTCCTTTCAAGAACTTTTTGAAACTTCTATTAATGATTTATTAATGCTTTATAAACTAACTTCTGTAGGCACATTTCCATTACGCATTTAATTTAAAAATACAGTTTTTATCCATTCTGTGAGTTTATGGCTGTTCTCTGTCACTGTATGAAGACAACTTTACTACTGCTTCTTATCATAGCAGAGAGGGACCAGAAGACCTGATTTAGCTTTGACAGTTTCTGTATTGGAAGGCTAACAGTCTTCCAGGCACAACTTTCTCCTGTATGTAGGTTTTTCTGCCTCTTTCCCTTAAAAGATGGTCTTGGAATTTACATGTTACTTACATTGTGGCAAGAAAGGGCTGCAGTGCTGTTTTATCACACCTGAATTAAATCAACCTGATAAAAAGACATCCTGTAAAATTTCAGCATTGTTTATCACTGGCTGCTGGGAAAAAATCATGACTCATGAATTATGTATGCATCATTACTTGAGATGTGCAAGCAGTTAACTGTCCCTGTGTAAACAGCATTTATGCTGAATCTTAGCCATAAACCTGTCCCTCAAATGTGAACAGATGAAATAAGCAATTTTGTTTCCATTAAGGCATATTGAGCAAGTATGGAAATTATGATGACCCAACTACAAATTGTAATACAGAATACTGACTGTGTAGTCTAAACATCCCCCTCACTCAGCTGAGATGATGTTGAGCCACAGTAGAAAAATGGTCCTTAGTTACCCAAGCAAAATGAGAAACTGCCTCAAAAACATGTAAATTTGTTTTCAAAAGACTTGGGAAGGGAAAGGAGGGGAGAGGAAGGGAGGGAAGAGGAAGGGAGAGGAGAGAGGATAGAGGATAGAGAAGAGAGAAGAGAGAAGAGAGAAGAGAAGAAAGAAGAAAGAAAAAAAAAGAAAAAAGAAAAAAGAAAAAAGAAAAAAGAAAAAAGAAAAAAGAAAAAAGAAAAAAGAAAAAAGAAAAAAGAAAAAAGAAAAAAGAAAAAAGAAAAAAGAAAAAAGAAAAAAGAAAAAAGAAAAAAGAAAAAAGAAAAAAGAAAAAAGAAAAAAGAAAAAAGAAAAAAGAAAAAAGAAAAAAGAAAAAAGAAAAAAGAAAAAAGAAAAAAGAAAAAAGAAAAAAGAAAAAAGAAAAAAGAAAAAAGAAAAAAGAAAAAAGAAAAAAGAAAAAAGAAAAAAGAAAAAAGAAAAAAGAAAAAAGAAAAAAGAAAAAAGAAAAAAGAAAAAAGAAAAAAGAAAAAAGAAAAAAGAAAAAAGAAAAAAGAAAAAAGAAAAAAGAAAAAAGAAAAAAGAAAAAAGAAAAAAGAAAAAAGAAAAAAGAAAAAAGAAAAAAGAAAAAAGAAAAAAGAAAAAAGAAAAAAGAAAAAAGAAAAAAGAAAAAAGAAAAAAGAAAAAAGAAAAAAGAAAAAAGAAAAAAGAAAAAAGAAAAAAGAAAAAAAAAAGGAGAAAATCCTTCACACTGAAGAAAAGCTTCTTTAATTTTTTTTTTCAGGAACTGAAGATAGAGATTTAGAATAGGATATCTCAATGTTGTTTAGTAGGCTAAAACATATATGGAGAGAAGTTTAAACAGATTTTTTAGAAACCCTCTGAATGTTTAGGAAACAAGCAAAGGCCAAATATTTAGAAAGATTCCAGTTACATTTAGCAGTATTTTCATTTAAAACAAAAAGGACACTAAAACTGTTTTTTGACATCTCTATCTACTAAGACTTTTTCTGCTCTGGGCTCTGCAGTCTGTGTTTTGGTAACACGTTTTGTTTTTCTGGTTTGGCCCTATAGTACCTCACAAATAGAAGAAATTTTTAACTCAATATAGAATATCTTCAAGAACTTACGGTAAATGCAACCAGGTCCCTTTTGATTTCTCTATCAAATTACATAGTATAGCACCAACAAGATTTACAAAACCAAGATGCCTCCTGCTTAGAAAATAATTTGAAATTCTGAAGTAGTTTGATTTCTAAAGTAGTTCAGAGATAAATTCACAGAAATATAGGATATACAATCTCAACCTTTCTATGCAGGGGTATACAAATAGAGACTTCAGCAAATAGCATGAATTAATTGTGGCTTTAGCATTAACTTTTAATATTTTCCACTGTACACTCAGTAAGGTTTACCTTCCCAATATTATATGTTTTCTAAGTATATTTATTTGTATACCAAGATGACTTTCCAGGTTGTTTTCATACTTACTAGTTTTTGTCATTATTCAGAGTAGTCTTTGATAATACATGCTATTAAGAGGTACATTTAAGATGTCCAAAACCAGTGTGACCTATTTTGTTTTTTCAACAAAGCCTCTCAGTGTTACAGTTGGGGGATAATGAAACGAAGTGGAAAATACATGCTTGAAAGAAGGTAAACCCCCTGAAAACTTCCAAGTGAGAAGGGAGAATAAACTGAAAGAAGTAAGTCAAATTGCACAGAAGGAATATGCAGGGAAATAACATGACAGCATGTAGGAACTAATACAGCCTTTGGGACTGCTTTAACTTGCACTACCTATTAAAAATACCAAAGGGTAAATATGGATACAAGGGATTACTGATTTGTTGAATGTATTTCGTTAACATTAGTCTGTAAAAACATTCCACTTTGGCATGTACTTGAAGAACTCTTGTCTGTTTGGGGAGGCTTACACTCTTCTGCATTTAGAGAAGTGAAAAGAAGGCATTTAATGTTTGTTGCACAATATTTATAGATATGCTTTCAAAAAGTAGCTCAAAATCAGTAACTAATGCCCAGGATTAAATATAATAAAATAGCTTACTTAAAATTTTTAAGTTAACTGCATACGTAAAGCACATTCTCAAAATTTTCTGTGACTTCTACTCTCTGAAATTTATAGCTTCAAAAAATATTCTTCATATCTGTTTGATGCGAAAATGCAAAACAATTGTAAATTTGTTCACCAAACTTTTTTAAGGCTAAAAAGTAATGGTTGAGTTTTACAAGATTACAGTAAGATTTCTAATAGGTGTAGAGAGGTTTGCATTAACTGAAGATGCAGCTACTGGAGTAAGACTAACGGAAAAAGAAAGAATTGGTTAACATATAGTTGCATTATTCTCCCTTGATATTCTTTCAGTTACAACACTTGCATTAATTTTTTTGTATACTTACTTTGAACTCCATGGGAGCGAACTATTTTCCAGGTTTCTGAGGCTACCTCTTTTACATCCACTTGGTAATGATGAATGGGCACACCTCCATGTGAATCCGGCTTATTGAATGAAACTTTGGCAGTGGTTTGTGACAACTCTAAAACTCGTACTCCATAGGGATTTGATGGCACATCTAAAAAAGTAAAAACATCAATTTAATAATCAGCAGCAACTAGACAGACTTAAACAGTTGATAATCTAGCCCAGAAAGTCTCCTTAGCATTTTGAAGGAAGAAAAAATACATATAGAATATGATGTAATAATGTTTGCATTAGATAAATAGTTTAAGCTTTCTATTACCGAACTGTAAGAAAATCACATTTATTTTCCTGTATGCTAAACTTATTCAAAATGATTTTCCATTTCTGCCTTTCTTTTATTTTTTTTAACAGCTAATTTGTCATAGGCAGATGTAAGAGATTAGTTTATTTTCTTTATATATCTGTAAAAGAGAATAACAAACTTTAAATCAAATTTAACAAGAGAAATAGTTATGCCTAAATAGATCATTCAGCATCTGAATTCTTCTAAATGAGATTATGACAAAAAACTGTAGAAATAATTTGTCTGCTTTTAGAAAACTCTGAAATACACCTGAAAACATGAATCCTTTTTATTCCTTTTTCGAAAGACTGAATTCCAAGCTACTAGAAAGGAACATTAATAGAAGCTTTCTATTCTCTTTTCAGTTTACAAAATATTTTAGGCAATAGGTTGAAAGAAACATTTTCCCTGAAATCAAAAGCAAGTGCATATCTTTCAAAGTAGAAAAGAACTATGAAAATAAAGCAGGTGTCTGTAAGTGTTCAGATGCTAGGTATGAAACAAAAGCAAAAAATTAATCTTGGGGTAAGTACATCTTTAAAAATAGAAACATTATTTTACTTTCACAATGTACGACCAAACTAACACATAGAAGACGAAAGACTAACTTTTCTAATTATCTTACATTTTAGAGTGTTATAATCACAAAAAATTGTATTGAAAATACTAGGAGGAATTTTAGTTCTGTGGACCAAATACCAGAGATTTGAAACACCTTTAAAAATTTTTCTTCTGATAGGTCTGACAATTACTTGCATACCTGCTTACATTGCTTTTGTCTCCATGGTATGGAAGATGTTTTTATATGGACATCCAAGAATTTGAGTCAAAGCATATCATTTGTTTAGTGAGTACTCAACCATTTACATAAAATATAGTCTTTATTCAAGGGCTGCAGACAGTTGGGAATAAAAAGAGAATCAATCTGAGCTTCACCTGGTATTTGTACTTGAATGAAAATGAGCCAAAGGTTTCTATACAATATGAAATTATGGGTTTAAGGACATAGCCACAAATTCTCAGGGAAAGGACACCTGCCAAAGCTGCTCTAAAGGGGCTGATTTGTATAACCTATTAATAACCAGACACCTAAATATTTCCAGAAAAATTCTCTAACAGTTGTCAGAGTTGAGTGTCTTAATGTTAGTATCATACCTCTGTGACTTCTTACAGTTAGCATTTCTGAATACAGGTCTCCTGAAACCTCCAATGCTCGCTGCTCATTGAATTAAAACCAGAATAGATTTATTTACATGGGCGAACAATTTTAATATCTTCTACTTAAAGTCACAACTGTATGAATCCATGACATTAAAGATTTGAGTATAATGCAAATCTCAGCTTAAGGGATTCAAACCCTCAAATTCTTTCTTATTCCAGGAAACATTCATTTCATCAAGATATGGGATATTGCAGGGAACTTTCATCCTTCTTAGTGAAGCTGTATTACTCTACAGAAAGGAATTAAAGATTCACAGTCAAACAGAACGTGACCAAATGTAACCAGTATCCTACGAATCCAGGAGAACACAGACCCTGGGTTTTAAATCTTTCTTTAAATTAATTAAAAAGTTGAGGTTTTTTAGGAAAAAAAATGTTCAAAAAACCCCACTTTTTTTTTTTTTTCTGTGATCACTCAGAAAAAGAATTAGTTATAGGAGTTGCTTGCTAAGTAAGCATTGATCCCCAAATCAGAAGACAATGAAGATTAGAACCAGCTTGTGACCCCTCTCCTACAGATTCTCATTACAGCTGAGAGCAATATTTTTTTATTCCCCCCCGATAGCAACAGTACCTTAAGCACCATTCTGTGTACAGATTCTCTAGCTCAAATGACTGTTCTGAGAGAGGTTGGGAAAATACAACATAAGAATGTCAGCAAAGCAATCTAGGATAGGCAAAGTAAAGTAGCAGAGTACTGTATGAGTGATATGGACACCAATCACTTAGGAAGATGAATTTAACTGCAGTACTGAAGATGAATATTATTTGGATTTAACTGCAAGTTAAAAGCTGCTATGGATACCTATAATGTTACAAATAGTTTCTAAACACTTTTATTCCTTTTCTGTTATTAAAAGGGTTCGAAATGAAACAAAACAAAACAAAAAGGTTGAATGAATTTTTTATTTCAGGCTATTTTTATGTTTGTTTTTTGTATGTATGCTCTTTTTAGAAGGAAATTCACTGCTACTTCAGTTTAGATCAAAACAATTATTTACTCAATGGTATGAAACAAAAATGTGTTATTTACATATCCACTCTGTTCTTGACTTTCAAAATGTTAAGATCTCTTTCTTGTGTGTTTACGTCTGCGTATGATTAACTATATTAAACATGACACAGGAAAGAAGACATCCTTCAGGGAGAACCTTATGTTCTCTGTGGCAGATTCAAGTATAACTTCTGCCAAATGAAGATATGATTCCATTTGGTAATAAACATAGAATGAAACTCCTATGAAAACCTAGTAAAATATTTTGCATAACTAGCACAATGAAATATATTTAAAACTCATTTAAGTGTGAAATACATCCACAATACTAATTAAATATGTATCCCACAATCCAAGCAACATACATGTGTAGGTAACTTCTTTGGAGTTTTCAGATTTGAGCTATATCAGTTCTTAAGAAAAAAGTGAGTCACCTGAAGAAAATACAAGAGACATGTTCCTAGTCAAATCAGAAACAAATACTAGCAATTCCATTAAGATTGAATAAAATGCCTACTATCTCTCTCAGACTAGGCCAATCTATAACTTTTTCCCAAAGAAGATCATTAGCAGCATAATGAACTGAATCTAATTCTGTATTTCTCTAATGAGTATGAATTTGATCATGCACAGTAAACAGCCCTCTGGTCCTGATCTAGCAAAACATTCCAGCATTTGAGCTGTCCCCTGTCAGCCGAAATTATCTGGAGCATTGCCATGATTTTCATGTTAGAATTGCAAGGCTTTTGGCTCAATGTTTAGCAGGAGTGAAGAATAATTTGCAAAGTTGTGTATTCTGAAGGGAAGGATAGAACTGAGGATGCTTCTTGTTCTTTTTCCTTTGGAAGCCAACCAAACACATGAATCCTGGAGAAGTTTAGCTATAGGAAGTGATTACTCTCTTACATACTGTTACAGATATAAGTTGAAGGACTATATAGTAGAAAAAGTATGGGATTTCTTTTCTGTGATCTAAAGATTACTTAGTGGTCGCACAGATTCTGGTATACTTTCTTAGAAGTTCCACTGCTATCTCGTCATTATACTACTGTCAAAACAAGAGATAAACTACCAAAAGTTCAGCCTTTAAATTAAAGTAAGTCATTAAAAAAAAGCCCCAACAAGTGTCAGACATCTAGTCAGCTTCATCTTCTTTCCACAGTGTCTACTCCTCTGTTCAGTATGTGACATAATATAAATGTATGGTGTTAAAGATATCCTTGAAAATAAAATAAAGTTCCCCGAATAATGTGTAAAATTTTACTAGATGTATTTCATACTCAGCACATAAAGCCAGTTAGCACAAATGAACTTTGTGATACATTGACGTAAATTAAGTAGCATTGGTTTGGTTCCAAAAACATTATTGCAGCTGGTAGAGAAGTACACACAAAATTATGAGTACATATTTATCTCCACTGATATGTAAATGCTCTTTCCAGTCTATTACTATTATTACCCAACCTGTTCAATAAATGACCAAAATTTATCCCTAGAGAAATGATTTTCAAGCTATTTTTTGGATAGTTTTATGGAAGAAAATAATTTTCCTTGTAAGAATTTAGCAGTCTTGGTGTAAATGGAGAAAAGGAAGTGATGGTGTGAGAGTAAATAGTAGGGTGACAGATTTATCTTCCAGTTAGCTCTTGTCTCCTGTCTCCTATCAGTACATTCCTAGTGCATTTCTGCAGCTTTTCCTGTTGCTGTATATCTGCCATATATATTGACTGAAAGTAACTATGCCTAAATGCTGAATGTAAGTAGTATCAGGACTGTGGCAGGGAAAGACATGGGGCTGGGGAGTGGACTTTTGGAGTCAAAGATCTACATGAAATAGTTTATGCTTGTACATCCTTAGAATGGAGAAAAATTTCAATATTGAATCTACAGGTTAGGCTCAGTCTTGCTTTGATGCCCTTGCTTGGGAAAAACTGCAATACATTTATTTTACCAAATCATGGGAGTTCTGGAAAAATAAGGAATTAATTAGGAAAAGGACCACAGCTAGAAAATAAATACATAAATAATAAATGAAAATAAGATACATGCACACAAAGCAAAACACTGTTGTGCTGTGTTGATAGTTTCACACATAAGTTTATTGAAAATATGTTGCTCTTTTTGTTTGGTGTTTTTTTTTTGGTTTTTTTTTTTTTTTAGTAAAATCCTTTAGCTGATGCTGCTAAAGATGTGAATGACAAGTTTTAGGACAGAGAACTAGATATAAGATCTGCCCATATTTTTGTGGAGGTAAATGGGATTTTGGCAGCAGCAAGGGAAAAGCTGTACAGAGAAAGCAACCTAATGATCATAACAGAAAAAAAAATCAATGAAATCCCAGAACACCTTGGAACAGAATACGATTGTCCTTTTTATTACATTATTCTCCAGGGAAAATTAAGTCCTACTTCCTTGATTTTATCAGCTTGGATCAAAACTGAAAGTATCCTTCTAGATGCAAAGACTGAAAGAAAGACTGAGGCAAAATGGTGAATCAGACTATTTGTCTGAACTGTTAACTCCTTTGCCATCCTAGAACAGAAGAAAGATGGGCAAAGGGATGTCTAGGATGAGTAAGGCCATGAGAGCCTTAGAGGTGAATCATGATTTTCTTTTTGGGGGCTCTGTATTCAGTCCAGCTGTACACTGCTATGTGGAAAATACATATTAATATTTAAGGAAAAAAAATACTTGAAAAATCCAATTTAGTTCTCTGTGCTACAACCTTAACATTTACCAATTTAAGATAATAAATTATCTATTCAAACAACATAGTCCTCGACTACTGATGGCCATGTGATTTTCCATTTATCTATACAAAAACACTTAAAATAATGATACTGAGATCTCAACAATAATGAAAAATGCTGTGCTAGTTAATATCGCCCCTCTGCATACAGATATTTCACATAAACTATGACTAAACTAGATCTGGGCAAATCTAGGAATATCTGTGCTCACCTCAGGCTGTGAAAGCCATTGGGACAATCTGCCAAGCTCACCTGGCTTGCCAAAGCCTAAGCCTGTCATAGAGAAAAAACAGAGTATAAGTAGACTTCTAAAATAAAAGTTGTGGTTCTGATGTAAAGCAATTAATTTGCAGTGGCGCGAAATGAAAAAGGCTGTGGTTCTTTCTATATTCTACATGTTACTCGCACAGCAATTTAAATGATTAAGCAATGAAAAAGGAGGATGTCAACCATGTTGTATTTTTAAGAGTTCATCACCATAAGTCAGGTGGTGAGAACATCTGATTTAACTTTCAAAAAGTATTGAAGTTTCTCAGTATTTACCAGAAACAGCCAGCACCTTTCAGTGTGAAACCTTAAATAGGATGCAGTTCTTCAATTGTTTTGAAACGTTTAAATGAAAGTGTCTGGAATTCAGGCTGATTGAGTCGCTCTGTATAATCTGAGTGAATAAGTATAGTTTTCTTGTCATACAAAATAGTATGGTTGCAAATTGCATCTAAATTCTGAAAAAAAATCTTTTTTTTTTTTTTTATCATCAGTAAGTCTAATTTCTTAAGGAGGGCAACAGAAGTAAAGATAATGGCATTGTGACAGTATGATCACTAGCAGTAAACTAGCAGTAAAATGAAAAAAAAAAAAAAACAGTCCAATTCTGCTGAAAACCAGCAAAGGAAAAAAAAAAAGAATGAAACATGAAGCAACAGGTTATTACTTCAGAATTTTAAGAGAAAAGTATTCAGTAAAATTATCATTATTTGTGAAATTTACCCTAGCAGCATACTTTGCTTAATATTGTCTCTCAGTTAGAAATAGTATTTATTTTTCCCTGACAGAGCCATTGCTACGCCCCAGCATTAGTATGTACAATTGAAGACAGAAGGAAATCCAGGCTTTATTGAAGTGCATGAAAAAATTTTATTGGCTTTAATAGGGAAAATATCAATCATTAGGGCTTTATCAAAGGAACAGAAGTAGTAGAACTAGGAAGAAATCTGCATTTGACATTTTTAACCTGTTATTATTACAATGGTTTTATCTTCTACCACCTCAGTTGTTTTCCATTTCCAGCTGATGCTGGTTTAAGTGCAAAACTTGTAACAGTGAAGTACATTTGCTATTTGCTGTTTTTTGTTTTTTTTTTTTCCCCCAGAAAACGTCTATTTAGATGTAAATACTAAGAATGTCAATCTTTCAGGATACTGAATATTATGGATTACACTACTGTAAGTAGTACTATATTATATTATGCTATAATGAAGGCCTGACACCCAGTGTTTCCAGCCCCACATAAATACTACACTACCAATGGCTTATGTTAAGGGTACCTGTTCATTATCATTACTACAAAATTTGAGTGTATTGTACTTTCTGCATTTCATATTATTATATAGAAATTCCATATATAGCTCATGCTTTACATAATAACTTCTCATAATTCTTTTTTGATTACATATTTACTAAATAAACCCTGATTTACTTTTTTCTGTTTATAATCCTAATATGAAAAGTGTTTATCAAGTTTTTTGAAGAATTGACTGAAAAATATTAAGCAAACTGTTGCAAAAGTAGAGACTAGTAAGCTGTTTGACACAAACTGGTATCAGTAATGTCTCTGATATACTTGTATGAAAAAGCCAATACAGGATTATAGCTTGCATGGAGTTATTTGCTCTCACTTGCATTTCTGGTGGCTCTCATGTGAGAGTTTGCTGAAATACATTGCATAATCAAAATATCATGTCCTTTTTCAATTCATAATAAGAATTACTTTGTGTTTAAATTAATTATTTATTTTAAAAAGCTGGAGAGAAACACATAGCCAAAATAATCATCATGCAGTACCATTCATTGTGATGGGATACTGTTTGGCAAATCTAAGAGAAAAATCAGCAGATATTCTATATCTGCTGAGATGCTCGCAAAAGTATGTACATCTTTATGAAAAAAAAGTGCACAGCAATAACCACAACCTGAATTTCTCTGTGTTCACTGATATAATTGTTTTATTTTCCAGTCTTTTTCTGTCCTGGGAGGCAAGGCACTATAGGTATGCAAGTGGGATTTTTCTTTCCCTTTCCTCTCATTTAGGTTCATAGCTATTGAGAAAGACTTCTAGCAGCAAGTCTTCTGGTTTTTGAGAGAAATTGAGAAATTATTCTAGCAGCTTTCACATTGTACTTCTACTGCTTTTACGTTCCAGTGAAGCCTCACATGTAACAAATCTGAGGCAACACTCCAGAGACAACTGTAGCACCTAACCCAGCAGGACAGGCAGAACCAGTGCCGCTGTTGAATTAACAGATGTATGTATTGCCCCCAAAAGAAAGCATGCTGTTGAAGAGACATAGACTAACTGACCAAAATCAGAGGGTTACGTGCAGTCCTTTTGTTTGATTAATTTAATGTAACCCTGAGTATCCTATTCCAGTCATGAATATTCAGAGAATCAAGTCCTGAGATTTTTTTAGACTTTTAAATGATGGCAAAATTAATATACACATAAAAGATAGAGTTTACCTATTCAAATCAATGTTAACTTTGTACACGTTTTGAGATTTCTTAATTAAAGACAGAATAGTTGGTACAGATACTGTTTTTTCTGAAAGTTTAGAGCTTTTCTATTACTACCTCGATTTTGAACATCACAGGGAGTATTTGCTTTTCATATTTAATGTCATAGGTAGTACTGATGAGCTGCTATAGGCATAATTTTGCCCTATGACAGAAACTCAGTATTTCAAGTAATTCCATTGAAATAAGTGGGATCAACCATGTAAATGATGCTGAACATGATTGAAGATTCTAAAAACTGTTCTCTCCTGGAATTTCTTTTCACAGAAAATAAAATTATTTTAGATATGAATTAAGACTGTGTGTTTCCTTATATTGTGGAGAGTTAAGGTGGAAAGTAAACATTATATTGTTAAGGACTTAGCTGGGACTAAGGATGGCTACATGCAAAAGGAAAAGGTAATATATTTCTCATTAGTCACATGTAGCTATCAAAGGAAGATCAGATTTGCAACATAGCTAATACAACCAAAAAAAGTAGTAAAATGAAGGGGAATGGATATCCCAGGTGATGTAAAATTGTAAAACAGAAATCTGCTGTTTTCTCAATAAAACCCCACATTTTCCTATTTTAGTAAGCTCAGCTTTTTTATCATTGTTCACTGACAAAAAAATAGTACTCATGGTAAATGTGTGTGCTAGTAATACATCCTTCCAGAGGTAATGGGAAAAACTTTCAATGCTGTGTACAGCCTCTAAGAATTCTTAATAAGCAACTGGTTTTTATAAATCCTGAGACACCAAAAGAAAATATTTACCTTTATCGAGCAAAACTATAAAAAACAAAAATACCAGGCTACATAAGAGAGACTCCCTATGACTGGATGTGCACATTTCAGCACTGCACCTCCAAAAGTCCTCCTAGTAGGTCTCAAGAGTTTATTTTCTAATTAAAATAAAATATAACCAGAAGTTACAGCTGAAAAATTCAAGTCCTACTTTTAAAAAAAGATTTATAAAAGACCTTATTTCTACCTGTCCCCTTCAATATCTATCAGCCAGTCTGGCAGTATGCTATGACCACACATATGTTACATGATGAAAATGGTCCAAAACAACACATCACAAGGGGTGTACAGCTTGCATTATGGCTGTACCTTTGGTACTTGAAACTGCATTACAACTCCATAGACTTCATTAAAGCTGGAAAAATTTGCATCATCTAAGTATGTAGATTTAAATGTGGGAGACCTCAAAGCTTGCTGACAAGTGTTAACCCAATCCAAAGGAAAATATAATGGAAACAAATACTAAGAAACTCTAACTTATTCTCAGTTAATAGTTATTTCTGCCAAAGAACAAACATACAGTCATATTTTGTATTTGCCTAAACAACAATAGATGGACCTAAAAATATTTCGAAATTCTGTAACAGTTGCTCACAGAACATCACAGAGGTTAATCTAATTCAGTCTAACACTCTGGGTCAAATTCTGCTTTTAAATAACTAAAAGTGCAAATGAAGACAGAATTTCTTTGCTGAAGTATTTCAGTCTTTTGTCATCCTTGCTTTATCAAGAAAATACCAGGGAGATAAAGGAAAAAGGACTTTCTTAATTCTTTATTATTTTTACTGCCTGCACAACTCTATGTCTCTCCACTGAAGTAATGAATATACACTGTTATAGATGCAGGACGTAGTAAGGGCAAAGGAAGAAAAAGTTAGACTAATTTAACTTTTTTCAAATTTCAGTAGGCCTCAAAATTATATCCAAAGAAGATTCTGAGGGAACTGGTTTATTTTATTTTATATTGCAACTCAACCTTTAGAAAATTAAAATTAACTGCAAACGTTCAGTTGGTATAAAATAAATAGAGAAAAGTGTGCCTGAGCTTAATTTTGATTAGAAAAGAAAAAATATTTAAAGAAAATGAAACATCTTTTTAACTTACCAGCTTGACCAAGAGTATACTCCTGATATCTTGTTCCTATTCTGTTTGTGGCTGTACAATTATACCGTCCAAAATCACTGTCAGATGTGGGAGCAATCTTTAAAATGAATATAGTTTGTAAATATTAGCTTTTAATCAAATATGAAAGTTCTTTAAAAAAATCAGAAATGCAAATATGTTCTCCTTAACCAATATGCAGAAGTGTTCTTATTTCAGCCTTATCTAGTACATTCTCCAAATACAGATCTAAATACATTCTTTTTCATGTTAGATTCCCCCTTCTCAGATTCAAATGCAGAAATCAAATAATGGAAATGGTGACATTGTTCATCTTTAAAATTTCACTTTTAAACAAGAAAAAAATCTAATCAACTTCATATTTTTTTCACAAATGTTTTTTGCACAAACTAGTATTTTGACTGAAATAAGCACTGAAAGGACTGAAAATTGCTGATTCCTATAGATGATACAAGAATAATATTTTGCTTTTATTGTTTGCAGGATTCACGATACAGCAGACATTTGGGGGCAGGAAGAAAATGTAAGAGATGTGGCTCAATTGTAAATTCAGGTGAATAAGGTTTTAAGAGAACAGATAATAGATGTCACAGGGAGATACTGCCTTATTGGAACTCAGCTTGCCTGGCCAACTGTTCAGGTGACAACAGAATGAAAGCACTTAAGAGAACTGCAGACTGGAAAGCATATTTTGTGTTGTTAAGTTTTACTTAAAATAAACAAAACCCTAAATATGACCTTCAAATATGAGTAAGTCTGTGTCACTTTAAATATATATCCTCTACTATAAGAAACAAGGTTACTACTTTGAACTTTAGAAAAAAAACATAGTTTTTTTCAGTGCACTGCACAACATCTTGCTTGAGATCTGAGGTAGGTCCCCCACTCTGATTAGCTCTATAGCTTTTCAACATTTTTTACCATGGCAACTGAGCAGCTTATGCTCAGACATAAGCCTGAAACTAGACAAAAATGGAGAATATTAACTTCTTCCACACCTGTGGAGGAAGACGGTATGTCATCCCTGTAACAGGTGAGACCAGGGCTGGAGACACTGGTTACACTTTGCTGTTAAATGATTCAAGGACCATAATTTGCTATACACTGTGGTTGAGTCATTCAGTGTTTAGTCAAGTTAATAAAGTAAATGGATGATTAAGGTGCACTCTTTGTCTTCTGTCTTCCTCAGGTTTTGTTTACATGTACCTTTTAGATAACAGAAGGGAGCTTAGTTCTTACTTTTCCAACACCTCTGTGAGGAAACAGTTATTATCAAAGCCAACTGCAGCTTATTATCACTTTACCCTTCTGCTCTGTTCTTGACTGAAGCCACACAATTTTTTTTTGTATATACCAAGCACCTATGAGGTAATCACTTTTAGTATTAACCTGATGGGTTAGGTTTATATTTATATATTTATTTAGTTGCAAGTAACTCAAGTTGCATTTTTGTTCCTTGCAGATGGAAATCTGAGCATGAGCCACACAAATGAGTTTTTTTAACTGGTCACAAGAAATGTGGAGATAAACCAGTTTTTTTGGTTTTTTGTTTTTTTTTTTTTTGAGAGAGAGCTTTACTTATTAAATTGTCATACACTTAAATGCACTCTATAGTGCTTGCAATGGTGCCAAACTGAGGAAGAAATAAAATGTCACCACATTGATTTCCATTTTAAGCCTTACCTCTAGAATCAGCTTTCTTCCTGTGCTGTAGGTCTTTAGATGTGTTGTATTTTTTACTGGTAAAACTAATTTTCCTCTTCTCCACTGAACTGAGGCAGATGGATTTGCTAGCACTTCACAGCTTATATTGATAGGATTGCCTTCCCAAGAGTAATACATGGTTTGATTTGACACAAATGTTGGAGCATCTAGGAAAAGGAAGTAATACACAATTGTATTAACTGTTTTAGTAAAACAAGCCATATATCACTATCCAGGCATTCATGTTCACATAGGTATTTATGATTGCTGTATCAATTTATTACAGAGCATGAAAATATCCAATATTCAACCTTGAGTTTCTTGAGTCTTTGGTAGCTTTCTCCTCTCCTGAAACTATTTCAGCTGAAACTCTCAGGAAGAGAATAACTAATTATACTCAGCATTAGGCAATATCAGCCCCTTCAAAGACATTATCTCAGAAATGACAAAGAACATGTCTTCCTGAGGATGAGACACTCTTTAGCCAGACCCTTGTATGACAAAGAGAGGTAATCTATGAAATTTATATATATATAATCTGTTAATTTGCTGATTTTATAGTGTTGTCTTTTGCTATAGAGAAATTACATTCACTCTCCAAATTTTCATGGATGTGTAAGAGCTTCCCCCATTTCTCACTGGAACACTTACACTTTATGAAATCTTTCTAAAGAGAGATATTTGGTTGTGTGAACAATGTAGAAGAAAAAATAATAAAAGAATACTTAAAATGTTGCAATGTATTCTACCTACTTCAGAAAAAATATTGTGTGTATCAGCACACTATATAGGATAATCTTTATAGCAGTTCCTTATGAAATCATGAAACTGCAGACAAGCAAAAAGATGGTGCGTCTTACAAACCTGTCTATAAATGGGTATGTTAAACATGTAGCCAAACACTGAGTCTGACACAGAGGAAATTGCTGGTTTGCAAACTACCTATGATTTTCACATCACAATACCAGCAGCGACAAGAATTATCTGTCCCACTCACTGTTTCTCTGGATAGCTCTTTCCCTGCTCTTCTACTTATGTCTTGGGTAAATAATGTTTTTTGTCTATTGAATATTTTTTTTTTTTACTTTAATCCCACTCATATTTTAAGAGTATTAAGAAAATATTCTTTATATTACTAAGGTCAAGGAAACTCTCTAGTGCTTTAATTCCAAAAGAGAATTATCAATTACAACTGGTGTCATGGTATCTCTTTTTAATATTTAAAAGACATATGTTTATACTTTTCTTTTGATAAATACTTCCTAAATGTTTCTAGATGTGTCTCTGGAAATTCTACTCTAGTCTTCTCACAAATAGTTTAACTTTAGGCTAGAAAACTTCTAATAGGTCTATCAGAGACCAGAACTGAGCACATTTCACTAAGTAGCAAAATTTAGCTTCAGACGAGGTTTTCATCTGGAAAAGAAATTAGTGGTGAGCGCCACTTGAAGGAAAACTGCAAGAACTGAATTCTGCCTGGCAGACAGGTTTTGCATCTAATGTGTTCAACATATAGATCAGAAATCTCATCAGAGTGTTCATGAAGCACAAAATGTGTTACTTCACAACACATTTCAGCTAAGTAATGTCTTCCACTGCACAATTTCTCAGAATAAGTTCACTCTGTTATCGAACACTGGCATGAACGTGGAAGATAGAAAGATGTTCTGTCTGAACCTGACTAACTTTCCATTCTAGGTAACATCATATGATTTGATGCTCTCTGTTGATTTACATACACGCAACAAACTCATAGCCTGTTTAAAAGGCTTACAAGTGAAAAAGCAGTGTACACTTCTATACTGAAGGTAGAAGCATTTAGGAGAATGGGGACTTTCAATTCAGACTGCTCTCTCTTCTAAAGGTAGAGTTTGGATGCCTATGCTATCTGTTCATTTATATTTTAAAAGAATAGGTGAGTTACAGACTGCCATCTGTACATGACTACAGGTACTAACAGACAGTTTTAACACCATAAAACACAATAGGACTAATAATCCATCAAAGAAAGATATATCCCAAAATCAACAGCTCCCAAAAGTAAGCATTCTTAAACAAAAAGAGCTTCACATTTTCCCTCTCAAAAAAGTCTGTGTAAAAAGCTTTTGCAGCCATTTCCCTAGCAGCTGAAAGCTCCAATATAGCAAAACGAAGAGGACTGTGCTAATGGCTTGACTCAGAGAAATTACCTTAAATCAGATTTTTTTTTTTTTTTTCCCCCCAGATACCTGGAGTGATGTTTCCACAAAGGAATGGATGTTTCCACAAACTCTGGAAATAATCTTTAAAGTACAAATAAAAGATATTTAACATTTATAGTAAAGTTAAAAAAAAAATAAAATTGAAGGGAATAACTTTATAAAGAGATTTTGGTTTTTTTCTTGTATACTGTTCATCATTAACTGTAGTATATTATACTTAAATGGTTACAGAATTAGTATTTATTAAACAGAAACACACAATGTTTAATAACAAATAGAGCATGAAAAAGTAACAAACCTTAAAGCCAAGGCTTTGAAAACTTAAGGTTGACATTGACTATTTTATATGTCTACAAAATCTGATCCCTCCAGTTTTCTAGAATAACTAAGAAACAAATTAAGTTAATAAACAGAACATTTATCAAGAAATTCTATCAACTGAAATTGAAGTATTAACAAGAAAAAAAGAGAATGTGGACCTTCTCATATCTTACCATATGTTAAGGATACATAAATGCAATATATGTACTGTATAAAATGCAAAAAAGCTTCTCTGCAGATCAGTGAGAAAGTTAAAGCCATTAGTAAAAATATGTTCTGCTTATTTTCTATGTAATTCAGGATTAATTTATGCCTAACCAAAAAAAAAAAAATCAATTTATGGTGTAAATGAACTGTTCTTCTTAAGGTTTTGCACATAAAATACTAACAGTTAAGACAATGTACTGGACTTCTAAATGGCTAAATACAGAACTAGGAGCTTGAACACACTTCATTTTTTTAAAAAAGCCACCCTGATGGTATTTATTGTATCTGAATCTTATGGTGCTCTACTGAAGAAAACAACAACAACAACAACAACAACAAAAAACAACAAAAAACCCAACACCAAACAACCACTACCTGCAGAGAAGTATAAATGCTAGTGTTCATTTTAGTGACTATCTGCACACAGTAAATCATAGAATCATGGAATGGTTTGGGTTGGAAGGGACCTTAAAGTTCATCTAGTTCCAACCCCCCTGCCATGGGCAGGAACACCTTCCACTAGTCCAAGTTGCTCAAAGCGCCGTCCGACCTGGCCTTGAACACTGCCAGGAATGGGGCATCCACAGATTCTTTGGGCTCCGCCCCAGTTAAGATTTTGGAATGAATGGTCTTTCCTTGGAGATAAAGTAGAAGAACCTCCCCAGACAGGTAAAATAACTGCCACATATTCCTTGTAACAAAAAATAATATTAGAAAGACTTAACAGATAAGGCTAGGTGATGAGATTTTAATATATAATCATACTTAAAAGGAAGATAGGAACTACAGAGCTTCACAGTTACTAACTTTCACAATTTTACTGTAATTGTCATGATAATGTGGCTGCAAGAAAAAGCTGGCAAGATCTGCATGTGAAGTTTACAAACAGAAAAGGAAATGAAACTTATCACATACTAGGTTTTAAATTGCCATGATTATTAGTTAAAAACAGCCTTTTTTTAAGAATCCAGCTCATCATTTTGAAAGTCTGAGGTCAGTAGTTTTGTAGAGGTATGTATTTCTTTCAGAGCAAGTGACAGGAAACACCACTCATTAATGTTTTCTTTCCTCTGCCCCATTCTCTTGGTTCCTCTCAAAGTACACTACAATAAAACACTGATATTTAATAGCATGATGGACTACCTACTAATTATACAGTTTATGCAAGAGTAAGAGACCCTCTTACTGGCAAGCAGTACTAGTCCCTGATAACTTTGAATATGATATTATTTTTAATATATCTGAACACAACACTAATTTCTCAATTTCCATAAATATAGACAAAAAATAGTTATTATGAAAATAAGCTATGTGTCTGCTAGATGCATAATATGTTATTGATAATGGCACCTTCAACCTTAACAAATGGTGGGCAATTAATACACACATGGCTCTGGTGCTTGGTGCAGTCAGAATCTCAGAAATTCAATGTGTCCCTTTTTCTTTGAATTACACTTGACATTAAGGAGTTGTATTTGGTTGATCTCTTAAAAAAAACCCCAAAAAACCAAACCACAAACCAAACCAAACCAAACCCCAAGAAATTTTAGCTTCATAGAAACATCTGTTGTGAATGGATGAATCTGTCTAAAATTATCTAAACCTGCTGAAAATAGAAGAAACTAGGAAGAAATCACAGCTAGGTAAAATC